AATCTGTTATGTGCAAATCTGATAAAAATTAATATTATTATTGTAATTATTAGTTTATTAATTATTATTATTAATATTCTCTTTATTAATTTTTAACAAGGTGTGGCTTCACTGGTCGAGCTAGCTTGTAGCGAGGCTTGTAGTCAACTAGTCATTTTAGTGAGATCTTGTCTATGGGCCAACCTCTTCGCCTCTAGGTTCTATTTCACTACGCAGAATGCAACTGAAGAAGGCTGCCTTACTTTTATTTGTTGTGTTTGTGTGCATTATCGTGTCGTACTTGTGCTTCTTTAGGAATGTGGATAATGAGGTCGAGAATGAGGTACGTGTTAGTCTCGCCCCGCCCCTTAATAGTATGTCTAATTGTCTATTCTTAGGAACTAGAAGATAATAGAAAAAGTTCTCAGAATGTACGGAAAAAATCAAAGGCATACCCTTTAAATGTTATAATTAATGTATTTAATTTATTTATCTTTAATCATGTCATAAATAGAGCTTTACCATGTCACCTGGAAATTCAATTTTAAAAACTCCTCAACCAAACAACCGCCCACAAAATCACGTCTCTAATGTAAGGACATCCCCTTATTGTGTAAATATATTTATTATTAGCTCTGTAGAGGAAACAAATATATCATAATTTGTTCCATCCAGCAAATGCATCTGATCTCTGGGTTACACTTGACAATAAAAGATTAGCGGTAAGTCGAAATTAATGGCACGCAAGTATACTCACGTGTTTGTAAAAATATGCTACTTCTGCCAAATTTTGCAACTCTAAGGATTTGTAAAAAAATTCAATTTTAATTGGAATCAGCTCAAACTTTTTACGCAACATAAAACATGTATATAGAACATAAAAAATTTTTTAAAAACTAGGTTAAGTAGGATTCCAAACGACCAATGAAAATATGAAATGAAAATCCTACTCGTGACGCAAATTCTACTCTACATTGTACTTTCAATGTTATTATGTAAGAATTACGGATCACCTTGCAATGTAGAGTAGAACTTGCGTCATGAGTAGGATTTTCATTTCGTATTTTCATTGGTTGTTTGGAATCCTACTTAACCTTGTTTTTTTTAATTTTTTTATGTTCTTGTTTGTGTTGATTTTTTATAATATTTATAATATTTTTTTAGTTGCCATTGTGATGCTTGTTGATTTTACACAAACAATAATTTTCTTTATTATTATTATCATTGTTATGACTTAACATCATTTATGAGAGACGGCATTGAATAGACATGCTGAAGGAATATCAACTATCCTGATGACAAGTGAAATTAATACTAGTCTTGACACAAGTCCTTGTTCAAGAAGCTGTGAGCTGAGAGTGTCCATCTTCCCTGCATGTTATGTTGCAGCTATTCCTGTTCTTCCAGGCTGTTGTCATTCATATTATCATTGCATATCATACATTAATTAATTGTTTGTTTTTTTAATAAAATAAAATCACACACTTGATAAAACAGTAACATGTAAGATTAATACCTTCTTTTAGCTGGAAACCTCCACTAAAGTATTGCAGTAGTTGATTCCAAGCATAGCTTGGTAAAAAAAATAAATTGCTTCTTCCAGAGCTGCAGATCTGAGCATGCGCGACCACACCCAAATTTTGGAGCACATGGCAAGCTTCTTTAATTAACAAAATGGCGGCATGCAGCTAAGATGGCTCTATCCAGCAGTCACAGTCATAGGCGGCTATAGGCCCGGGCAAGCTAGGGCTTTGCCCTGGTAGTTTTCAACCAAAACCACACCCAAAGGGTGTGGTTTGTTATTATTAGGAGTGAGATCATCACTAAAATTCATTTTTTTATAGCCACAACTGTCTACTCTAATGATCAGCTCCACTTTACAGTTATTTTAGTGTGGTAACTGGCTTTTGTGAGCTATCATAATGATTTTTTAGTCATTTTATTAATTGACCACACCCCCCATTTTTATGAATAATTAATGAGCCCTGGTTAATTCAAGATTCTGTAGCCGCCTATGGTCACAGTATCACTTTTTCTTTACTTGAAGAATGATCTGATGGGACATGGACCTGCGCATAGACTGTTGGAGTAGATTGGTGTAAGAATTATCCTTGTAGCATCAACTGATACTGAGATACACACCGACAACTGGATTGACAGGACTTCTTGATGAAGATGAAGATGAAAAAAGGTGGCTGAACAAAACGGCCGGTTCGCCGATTTTTGGCTTTCCTCTTACACAAGGTCTAGAGCCACGCTAGTGGTACCATTGGAGTCCTCTGGTCAAGATGAGGTCCTCTATAAAGTCTGGTAAGCATAGGAGCTCATTTTCCCGGTATAGCAAGGCTGCAAAAGTCGTGGCAGCCATTTTGTTTGGGGGTGAATCCTACTTAGTAACGCTACCGCGTTACTAATATATGAGAAAAAAATTATTATAAAAATAAAGAATTTTTTCTAGTCATTTTTGACAAATACCCTGTACTACAGATACAGCCCATAATTTTTGGTGTGATTTGTCAAAACTACAACCACTTAACTAAAACAACAGTTTGATACCATTAGATGTGATACAGTGTATGCTTGCTGTCTTCCCACCAGTACATACATGTATGTGTATGCAGCGGAACTTCCTGTAGTAATGTATTTCTTTTCTTCTATGTTACATGTAGGTTAGAAGGCTTGCTTATTATGATGCCCGTGATCCAGATAAGCCATCTCTTATCTTAAATGCATTGTATGACTTGCGTCATTCTCGAAAGCCAAGAGTCTTTGTTCATTTGAAATACTCCAATGAATTCTCGCAGTGTCTTCCTATGAAGTACAAAACTAAGAGTGGGAAACTTGATCGTGGTATGCGAGAGTATTACGTTTATTTTCTGTTGAGCACCAAAGAGTCAGTGAGTGAGATCCCTGAGAGCGTAGCCCTCTCTCTTAATAAAGATTGTAATGATTTATCAAGCAATATTCCTGTCCAATCTCTTGAACAAGGACCCGACCTTATCAACTATGCTGTCTGTCTTCACAAAGCTCTTTTCTCTATATCAGATGTACAGGTCAGTTGTTCTCCACTAGTGCCATTGTATGGTCCTGTACTGGCATGCATGGTGCTGTGTTGTTATAGAATTTGACTCTATGCATCAAAAAAGCACATTAATCCATAGCATTATTAGTAACAGAAAGCAATTCTATAATGCCTTAATTTTTTCCCACACACACACACACACACGACCATGATAGGTTTTAGTGGATTGGATTGAACTAAACAAAGCACTTGGAGCTGAACTCTTAATACTATATTTTCAAACTGCACCCGAGAATATGTATACCGTACTTAAGCCATACATCAAACAGGGTCTAGTTGAAGTCATTGATTGGAATCTTATGAAGCCTACAGTACCTGTTTCATATACAAGGGACCTTGGTCAGTCTGGTGTCATCAATGAGTGCATATACAGGAACATGAACAGAGTCAAGTACTTAGCACTGACTGATATAGATGAATTCATTGTACCAGAGTCTAAATTTGAAAAGGTCGGAGACATGGTCGAGTATCTTGAAGAAAAAACAAAATCAAAACCAGTCTCAGCTTACAGGTTTCATAATACATATTACTTTGAAGACCCAGTGTCAGTACCTCAAGTTAAAGACGTGTCTTTTTGTCCTAAAATGAAGCTACCTCGCTACTTCAGACGAACACAAAGAGCTACACATGCAGAGAAATATGGATCAGACAAACTAGTGGTCAAGACAAGAGCAGTTAACGTGGTTCAAGTTCACTTTGTTGTAGATAAACAAAAAGAATATGAAGCAGAATATGAAGTACCTAATGACATTGGTAGGAGCAATCACTATAGGTGGCCTTATAGAATGGCTGATTTTACTCCTCATGAATACAGTGATATAATGGGGAGATATGTTGCTACTGTAATACCTAAAATAAAATCTGTTATGTGCGAGTGAACAAGGTAGTTTAACAGCTAGCCATTATAATTATCTACATATTGACAATTATCCACTCTTGATATTGATAATAGGTGTTTTAATGATTAATTGTTGCAAATCATCACAATTTCACAATAAACACAACAGACAATAAGGTGTACATGTATGTGCATGTTTAATGTCACGTGACTATCACATGATCACTGTCCGCTTAAAGCACAGTTAGTAATGTGGTCCAGCCAGGCATCACAGGAATCAGGGTGCCGTGGAAACTCCATGTTACAATGGTGACACTGGATGGTCTTATCGCTAAAGACACTGGACTCAGAATAATGAGGACTTGAAGTGGCGCTATTGCTGGTACGGTAGCCGTCCTGCTGGAGTTTAAGGGACGCTGGGCGGGGCCTGGCTGTACTGTATTCCCCAGTGTGAGCAGAAGACGTGTGGAGTAGAGAGAGGTCAGTCATGCTTGTGTTAGTTGAGTTGGGAGTAGAGGCTGCCGAATGACTGTCTGACTGATGGTTCAAGTGTGAGAGGGTGGACAGCATGTGGACGTCAGATGAAAACGGTGAGACAAGGAGTGAGCCTGGAGCAGACATTGGCCGTGGAGTGTTATTAATAGGTGACAATAACTAAAAGAAAAACAAGATAAAAAAAAGTAACCTTTGTACATAATAAAACCAATGACATTTGCATTCAGAATCTACATAGATTGTCCCTCTCACCTTGTCTTGTTGATATATTGATGGATCAAGAAACTGGCTTGATGTCATTGCTCTTTGAGGAGGGAGGCCAAGTCTCGGTTGCATCGGGATGCTAGGGTTCCCGCCCCCTGGCACTTGCTCAACTATAGTGTCTGGTTTGTATGGGTGGGCCTCGTAGCGCCTTGTAGGAGACGAGTCCCAATCGTGCTGGTATTTACCACGCGATAGTAGGCCCTATGAAGTATTGGTACATTAATAGTATATCATTAGTATATTATTAGTATATTACTAGTGTATGATCATGGTGTTAAGGTATCTACTATGTTTTTGAGTTTGTGTGTAAATTCATTGATAAACCTGAAACCATTCGATGCCATATTTTTCATTTTGACTATTTTTGGTACTACACGTCCAGCAAACTCAATTATCCTTATATAACACATTATCACTCGTGGCTTCACTTTATTATCATTATTAATCTAATAATACTCACTAAGAATACTGCATGGCTCCATGGTGCAAACAACCCTTACATCTATCCAGTAGTACAGTAAAAATAAACTCTGAATTTTTGTATTTCAAAACAGCAACAAAAATTCATTTTCACTCTATTTTGATGCATATTTAGCCTAATATCTGATACCAAGAGTAAATAATACTTTTGGTAATATTTACCAAGAGTCACTTAGGTATTATTTACTCTTGCTGATACTAAATGCATTAGTCTCTCATTTAATGAAATGTGATGTTGACATTGGAGCTGTACATTGAAAGCAAACAGCACTGGCTTTCCTCCTAATAGCCTCTCGCTGTATTACCATGTACATGTACTTCAATAAATCATAAATTAGGATATAAGTATATGCATGTGTGCAGATTTAAACAGGCTTACCCACTAAAGGGGAAAGAAACCTTAATAATAAAGTATGGGCATAAGAACAAAAACAAAATTTGATAGTATTGGTAGTAGCAATAAAGAATAGGCGTACATGCATGTGTGTGTTCCAAATGTTGCATGCATCTGCTAAGTAAGTAATGCACAGTATATACCAACAGTAGTGAAGTGTCCCTTGTGAGTTATAAACTATTTTACAACAATTTTGTAGTAGCATGAAATATTTGTGGGCATAACCAAGCAAACCACTTATTGGTTGCATAACCAATGCAGGACAACCACTGTAATGACAGATTAGGGACAGCATAGGGGAGTTTTGTTAGAGCAGTGTGTACTTGTTGATGTCCTTATTTGTGTCAAATAAAAAGGTATAGGCTGTTCTTGTATGTGTACTGTGTGGGCTTTTGACCCTAACATCACTGAAATGGATGCAGTGTGGGAATAACAACAAATCTAGCTCAATGCACATGAAACCATTTTGTTTGGGGGTGAATCCTACTTAGTAACGCTACCGCGTTACTAATATGACTCCTCTAAGTGCTTAAGTCCTGTGTGGAGGTGTTTGTATGTAAACTAATGCAGAGCTACATACCTACATACATACATATGCACTTATTAACACTTACCGGTGGTGTTGGTGGGGTCTTGTAACCGTTAGAAGACGGATTGTACGATATGTAATGGCGTGGAGTCTGTTTTGGTGCAAATTGTTTAGGATATACATATCCATCAGCTGCCATACCAGGAGGGACTCTGACATCATAAGTGTCTCCTCCGGTTGATTTGTGGTAAGAGCTTGTGGGAGGAGCCTGGGCGTGACTGGCCAATCGTGATGAGGACGACTGGTACTGTGTGTGGTTGGGGGTGTGGTTCATTTGTGAAGAAGAGTTAAATAATAGTTGTCTTACAGAGAGACGGAATTGATTAAGCTGTGTGTATGAGAGAGAGAGAGAGAGAGAGGAGAGAGGAGAGAGAGAGAGAGAGAGAGAGAGAAGGTAAACAAAAGGTGTACGTGTTTGGAAGGCTATCAACTTTCAGTACAACTGAACTTGAGGTAAACTTTCCATTTAGTGTAAGAATAATAATAATTTTAGGACAGTCCTCTATATGTCACTATCAAGTCATCTACTTCTAACACTACTCTCATTTACAAACATGCACCGTCTTTTTCTGTCTCCCTCTTGTGTCCCCCCCCCCCTCACTTGTGTTTGGATTTTAGCTCTCTCCTTCTCCAGCTCAGTGTTTTTCTCTCTCAGTCTCTGAACTTCCTTGATGAGGTCTTCCCGGTCATCTCTCTGCCTCATAGCAGCTGAGAGACCTCCAATCTCTTGAAACTGAAAAGAAATAAAGAAGAAGAGAGAGTGCGGGAAAAGGGGAGAGAGAGAGAGAGACGGAGAGATGCAGTTAAACAAATATCAAAATAGGGTAAAATCCCACTTAATGTCGCATGTTTACACTGGTACACTTCATCCCACTGAGTCTACTACATGTACTCTTGCCACACTCTCTCTCTCCCATTAGAATTATGATAGTAAATTTATACAGCAATCACAACCAAAGGGCTGTATAAGGCATAAACAGGGCCAGTCACTATTAGAGTGGGAGTAAAAGTATGTGTTATGGGGGCAGGCATTGAGCAATATATAGGGAATAAGCCTTTTTATGCTCCATAGTGACTATTATCATTATGATGATTGGTTGCATGCCTTTGTGTGGAGTGTGAATTAATACACAAGCACAGTGTGCATGTATGTATGCATGCAGGTCATTCATTGGAGGGATTGGCCATAGAGTACAGGTTGAGTGATTCTTTCGAGTGAAAGTTAACAATATCTCTCAAGAGATAAACAGATATAGTGTACACTTTCAAAAAAAACAAGAGTGAGTGAGAGAGAGAGAGAGGAGAAAGGAGAGATAAGCAGCTAATAGTAGCAATAATAATAATAATAGTTATGCATACTAGAGTATAATGGCACTTTCAGTAAGCATATCTACCTGTGTGCACGTGCAGTGTTATGTAGTGTTGTGTAAATTGAAACACAGTATTCTACAACAACAAAGATCAATTTGCAGTACACAAAATAACACAAAAAGATAAAATGACAACCCACAGCTGCTTAGTACTCTCAAAATAGGTAACTGTTAAACTATACCAGGAGGGGGTGTACATTGTAGACAGAATGATTTGTGTTGTGAGTAAAGTTGTACTTGTAAACGTATACATATGTCTTCTACTTACCTGTAGTCTTAGGGCTGAGCATTCATTCATCAGATCTTGTATGATAACATTCTTCTCCTCCAGCTCATTTCTTGCGTCCTTGCTCTTGGCTGTCATCTTCTCAAGCTGGATCTCCAAGTCTTTCAAAAGTGTCATCTTCTCTTCTACGTCTCTCTCCAAGGTAATGCACTGTTGGCAAGGTAGTGAGGGGATGGAGTCTTCCTGGCGCAATGAGACACTCATTTGCTTCTTGAGGTCGTTGTAGTCTGCAAGCCATTGCTGGTTTATTCTGTACAGCTGGTGTGGGAAGGAGAGAAGGAATAGAATTTCAAATAATTTAAAAATAATCAGGAATAGACGAAAAGAGAGGATTGTGCAATAATAAATTAAGAAGGTTGTGACACCTCATTAACATGTTGAGCCAACCTCTTTACCATAACAAAGAACATATCAGTCAATATCAGGAAAAGATTATTAAAATGTGGTAAGTTTAAAGGTACAGGGGAGGAGAGAGGGAGAGAGAGAGGAGGGGAGACTCAGGGAAAGACAGAGGAAGACAAGCAATGGCATTAGATTTTTTAAGCAGATCAACACCAAAAAAACCCCAGGAGCAAATAACTATCACAATCAAACCAAGTCAGTAAACAAAGTTGGCCCCTGTAGTCATAATACCGTAAATAAGATAATGATATAAAGGTGGAGAATATGTAGCATATACATAAACTGTTTTGTGTTAGTCTACAAGCGAGCGAGGTCAAAAAGGTTGTGCGTACACATCAAGTTAGAGGGGGAATTTATTTCAAACTGTGTGCCAATACAAACAAAATACAAGTATTATCAGAAAACTTATATACAATAACACCGGCTTAGCGCCAGAGATTAGCACATGGAATTGTATTATAACAAAGAGCATTGATAGATATAGATGTATTCACACAGATGTTGTACAAAGTAAGCGCTACAAGCTACCACTTAGCATAAATAGTTACTAGAATTCAATGTTCTTTTCCCAAACTTTATTTGAAGAGTGCATATACAAGTCAAGCATACATACCTCATCATACTTTGCCTTTCTCTCCTTATTCTTTCTCTGTAGTTCAGCAACTTGTCTCTTCAGTTTAGCTACTTCAGCAGCAGCAGCAGCAGCACCTCCTTCTCCTCCCCCTCCTCCTCTCTCATGAGAGTCTTTTTCTTGAAGCAGTAGAGAAAGACGAAGTAAGAGATAGTTAATGACAGAATAAAAGTCTCTCAAGTGAATTGGATGGAACCGTCTCTCCACTAATCCTTGAAGACAAGCGTGTGCCCGTGGACATGTTGCCAACTGGATGCTTTCCTTGTCAGAGAGTGATGTTGCCTCGATGGCTGCCGACTCTAGCACGTCGCATATGTCGCTACCAGCTTGTTGCATGTTACTGGTGCTTGTCATAGTTTAGCTAACCTTTAAACAAGAGGGTACTCTCTATCCCTCTCCGTCAAATTTCTTTTATACAAAGATTGGAATGTGGAGGAGATAGGAGGAGGGATTATTGTAAGGGGAATACCCTCCTAGCTAGGGTACAATAATTATTAATAGATCTAACTTCTTTTAATAACTTAAGCCCTCAAAATGGCTACCAGAAGAGTGTCCTTGCTTTTAGGAACGAGTCTCGTTCGCCGCTGGGTAATGGGTCTTGGATATGGTAGGAGACCAATCAGACAGTACTGGACACTTCGTAACTATCCCATCACGACCAACACAGTCAGACCATCCTCTTTTAACCAAGGTAAAGGATCATAAACTTCAATTATTATTATATTATTGCGGGTATTTTGTGTATTATTGAGATAATTATAGGGAATGTGTACCTGGAATTAATCAATTTGCTATCAAAGATTTATGCTCATATACCGTATAGTCGGTCACTTCCTCTGCGTTTAGATATCATAAATCGAATCTAATTTTTTCCCAGGCTTCAAAAATAATTGGCTGAACTAAAATATCTGCTAGATTATGCATAGCATAATTCTACAGTGATTGGTGATGCTCTAATGTCTGATTGAGCTGGCTGGTCTTCATGTATGAGTACATGTACATGTACATGTACATGTACTCATATTAATGAAATTAATACATGTATGTGTGTACGTGGTAATAAATACACCCCCTTATTGCTGTCTCTCCCTTTCTATTCATTCCTCTCTATGTACACAATGACTTAGCTGCTTAGTCTAAGTGACTGGATCTGGTGTTAGTGTTTAAAAGGATGCATTTACATGTATGGTCGCATAGTTCGACTTCTTTATCCACATGTCTTCCTGTCCTTATCATAATGACAGTGCAAGGGCCTATTTTGGTCGTTTCCATGTGCAGTATATATTATTTTAGACACACGAGTCTCCATTAGGATGAAGAGCAATATTGCCACTTTCTAGCGACCATTTTACTTCAGTGCATGTGCATGTACTTGTATACTATGTGGGTTAGTGTTTACTCCGTTTTCTTTGATTATGGCAAAGGCCCACCTGTGTTCTCATTCCTTATTTGTTTGTGTAATTATGTTTTGGATTATTCTAGCCTTAAAAAGGCATCCCATACTACCATTAATTCATATCCTTTAATAATAATGGACACTATAAAACAATGGGCACTACAAAGCCTTTTAACTGAATGAATAGTATAGTGCCCGTGTTTGTTTAACATAACACAATTCTACACTATATAGGAGTAAACTTTTTGAGCCGTTGCTATGGGAAGAGGAATGTGTTATGCAATACCTCTGTGACTGTACATCATGTTGGATTATAATATGAAAGGGGCTTGATTTCCTTATCCCTGCCTATCCGTTATAGTAACAGATGCTTTGTTTTAAGTTGACATCTCCTAGGACAAATCAATCTTTATGGATTGTATAAACAAATTGTATGGTCTATGAGCCAATAGTCTGGAAGTGATCTTTTGCTTTCAAAGGATTTCGAAACATTGCCTTGATTGATTTGTGTAGTCAGACTATGATATTATATCTAAGTGATTGCCTGGTAGCCTTGTAAAGGATATGATATTGCTTGGTTCAACAAGGATATCCTATGCTCATTGCATCCAGTTAACGTGTCTTAGCATTAGATTTTTAAACTTGAGTATCTCTGTCTGAACTTCCTTTCTGATTTACTAATGAAAATATTTTCATGTTCTCTTAAATTCCACGTCAGAATGTGATGCTTTATGAGTAATGACAGTCATCGTGACACCACTTGGTATTAGAACTTTAGGCTATGGTACATGTAAATAATCCTTTAGCCAGGATGGCTAGTTCAATTATAAGTCTTGAGTTTACTACCTTCCTCCTTCCTCCCTGTGTCTGTTTTGTAGTTATTATTATTGTGTTATGTGCGTGTACATATGTCCATAGTATTGTTGTGTTTGTTGAGTCAGCAGTCACTAATGTTCCTGCTTTTGTTCCAATATCTCCCTCCTTCTCTCTTCCTCTCTCTTAATTACTCTTCTCTCCCCCTCTCTCTCCTTCCTTTTTATTATCACTATTACTTCTCTCTCTCTCTCTCTCTCTCTCTCTCTTTCACTAGTACGATCAATGTTCATTCAGACTCAAGACACTCCCAATCCAAATAGCCTCAAGTTTATTCCTGGTGTCCCCGTCATGTCCTCTGGGGGTACGAGAGACTTTCCTAATCCTCTCTCGTCCAGGCCATCAGTCTTAGCTCAACAGCTTTTCAGGATAGATGGAGTGAAGAGCATATTCTTTGGTCCTGATTTCATTACTGTCACAAAGGTATGCTCTACTGGACCAAAACAGTGTTGTTAATTGTTAAGGAGTATCTTGCAAGCCTTTAACATGCCTGGCTTCTGCCTATTTCTAAATTTCTCACTCATTCATGTTTTTGGCTTTATGCCCCCCCCCCACTAGTGACACAAGGGTTGCATACAGACACACACTCAGGTTGATTCATATAATAACAATGATATCAATTTAAACAAGGAAGGTAGTTTTTCTATCTTTGTCTCTGTGTCACTGACACTGTTGCTCATAGTCAGTATAGACATTAGATGTACATGACTATATAGCTACTGTAGCTACAGTACTGGAGCATGCTTTATTCATTAATAAGTGGATAAGACTCATCCTTCACAAGTTTGGGACTCTGGTCTTGTTTGTTTTAGAGAGAGAGTTTTTTATTTGGAGATTTTGAGGTTATTCATGTACATGCAGTGAAAAGTGTGCATGTGTGTGTATACATGTACATATAGTGATAGTGTAGCTGTAATAGAGAGATTTTGGTTTTGAAATTGAAAGATAAACCTTCTCTTTGTTTGATTGGCTTTTGCTTATACAAAAGATGTTCATTTGATGCCTCCAGTATCATCTAGTATGAGATATGATCTTTGATAAGGTTGTTAATGGTAATCTCCCCCTCCATCCATCTGATCCATTTATTCATGAGAGAGAGAGGGGGGGAGAGAGAGAGAGAAGAGAGAGGATAAGAATGCTATGGTGTTAGCAGTATAGGAAATGGTGAAGCTGAGAGAGAATGTGAAAAGGCAAAGTTTTGAGAGATAAATTTTTGTTGTTCGTTATCTTTAATTTTCAACTCCAGGCTGATGATGATATGCCCTGGAGTACCATCAAGCCTCACGTGTATGCTACTGTCATGGATTTCTTTGCATCCGGTTTACCAGTAATTAAGGAAGAAGCTACACCATCAGGAGGTGAGTCTTTTTACTAGTTCAGAGTATCTCTTGCTTTTCTGTGAATGTTTATTGTGTAATAGTAGTAGTAGTGATTCTGTTGCTTCCTTTATTTATTATTTTAAGAGTCATTATTAAGAAATTCAAGTCAAGAGAAGGAAAATAAGGGATACAGAGAGAGAGAGAGAGAGAGAGAGAGAGAGAGAGAGAGAGAGAGAGAGAGAGAGAGAGAGAGAGAGAGGTGTGTGTGTGTGCATATATGTACAGTACCTATTGGTAGGGGGTAGATTTAGAGGTCTCAAGGGACATTAGATATAATGATGGAGGAAGGACATGATTACCTCTAATATAGTGTAATGTATATTAATTAATATTTATTAAAACTGTTTCCTTATGTTCATGGCATTCTCTTTGATCTTAATAAACAGTAAGGAGGGATGGAGGACAATTGATAACGAGTTCATCATATGTTTGTACCTCCTTCTATCTCTGGAGTTCAAATTGAGCTAATCCAATAATGGTCATATTATAATCAGAGGAATCCTGTCTCTCCCCAATATGATTAAGTGCCTTGTAGATTTGCTGTGTGTGTGTGTTGTCACCTAAGCCTTAACCAACTAGGGGCAGTTGTTTGTAAGCAATTTGAAACAAGTATTTGACTTGTATTATATTACATGTATGTATATGTACATGTATTAGCACTCGCTCTAGGGAAGTGCCCCCTTACCATTGAGAGGTGTTGAAATGTGATATGGGGGAGCACATTTTATTTTCATAACATGCAAATAGGGCATTTTGTATATACTTGTCGAATAATAAATAACTTGCTGTGTCATTTGAATGTCTTTTGAGGCACGTGATTGTAGCAAGCTCTCATTAAATGCTTCAGCGAGGACACCGGTACAATGGTGAATTATCAGAACACTGGTACAATGGTGAATTATTAGAACACTGGTTAATGGTAACAGGTTTACTGGTCAACTGTTGGAACACTGGTTTAATGGGGAGGGGGAACTATTAGAAGACTAGTATAATGGGAACATTACGACTTATACTGGTAGTGTTATGTATAGAAGTGAGTCTGTGCACGTGGAGGGGGTTTTGTATCATATTGTGTGACACAATAAGGACATTAGTTGTATTGTCACACCTGTGCTCTTCTTCTTGTTATTAGATTTTCCCTGAAAATATCAATATTTACTTTTGAGTAATTGTCAATTGATAGCTGATGATTAAAGAAAGAGAGAGGGGGGAGAGAGGAAGGAGAGAGAGGGGGAGAGAGGCTCAAAAGAGCATATACATGCATATTCATGTAGCTATTGGCATAGATCATTATTTGTACTAATGATGGTGATCATAGTTGACTAATGAACGTGACCTTGTATGCTTTTTGCTGTAAAGACATTCATGGAATTGGAACTAGAACTGTGTACATTATACAGCCTTTATGGCCTTGCTATGCACTTGTCATGTTTTTAAAATATGTTCTCTTGTGTAGGAGAGGAATACATGTAGAGAGAGAGAGAGAGAGGGAGAGAGGGAGAGAAGGGTTTAAGAGAAATAAAAACACTGAAACCTCTCCTGTTTGTAGTATAAATGAAATTATTTGATAGTTGTAATTTTGATAAATCCCTTTACTACTCTTAATTGGAGCATGAATTTGATATATGTGTCCACTTGTTTGTCTTGTTTGTTTAGAGCCAATGATATGTTAGATATCGGAATGTTAGTTTAATTATGAATGTGTGTGGGTGCATGTACACGTACATGTGCATGGTATCCATGCACATATCCAAAATCTCTCTCTATATATATATTTCTTTTTTATGGATGGTTAGATCTACCTGCAGAGGAAGATGAAGATGAGACAGTAATGATGATCAAGGAGTTGCTTGACACAAGGATCAGGTAGGGACAATATATTGATATTAGTATCTCTAACTTTATTCGAATGCTTATCTTACAATGTGATAACAACCCCCTAACAATATTCATATCCACCAAAATATTGAAAACATTTTCCTTATATGGATTATGCAGGAAGCGGGGCAAAATACCCGTGGAACATTTAATATTGTTAACTAAACTTTTAATTACATAACTCGCTGGGTACAGGGAAACCACTACAGTCATTGTCCTGTGATATGATTTTGATTACATCACATCACTGATGTGAAACAATGCAAGCTGTGTATATTAAAGGTAACCTCTTTCTGGTTGTGGTCTGGTGCTTCCCCCTCATTTATGAATTCAAACCAATTGACCTTACATGGTTGAAAAATAGAGAGAGTGATAGAGAAAAAAGGGACTGTCACATTTGATGTGTTATAGTGTCGGGTATGCTACCTGTAATTACAATGATATTATGTCATTCATTAGAGGATACTAGCCTGCATATTGTACTCTTGGTATGCTTAAATTTCAGTATAATCATATGCCCCATGTATTGTTCCTATCACTACTCTAACGGTACAGGTCATACTACTTGATGTCATGATCACTTTCCTAAGGTATTCTCCCAGTCTTTTAAAAGTGCTTCCACTTGTCAATGGGGGGGGGGGAGTACTATCAGTGATTGTATCAGGTAGTCTTAGGTTGTGATTGGAAATATTTAATGATCTTGTATCTCTTGCTTTATGTCACTCGTATTTAATGTGCTTCTCTCCCTTCTTGTCTCTCCAGGCCTACTGTCCAGGAAGATGGAGGTGATATAGTTTTTGTGGTAAGGATCAAGTCACCTTGTTATCATGTATCATCATGCTGATCTTTCCCTTTCTTCTTCGTCATGATCTCTGTCTCTCTCCTTTTAGGATTTCAAAGATGGTATTGTCAAGTTAAAAATGCAGGTACTTGTACGTGATTAGTACATTTATGTACTCTTGGTACTATTAATATTGCTGGGGGATAAAACAGCTTATTGTACTTGTATATACATATAGAGGCCAGAGAGATTTTTATGGTATAATTAACAGTGTGAACTGATCCTTATATAGTAGTGGCCTTAATATAAATACCATAAAATAGCATCAAATGTCTCATGATCCATAGGAGATAGCCTTTCCTTAGAACTTGAAAAGGTATGGGGTGGATTGAGAATAGTAAAATGATACCATAGACCCTTAATGCCACTTGCCCTATAATGGGAAGTTTAGGAACAGGAACAAGAGAACTAGAGTGTAGGCTTAAATCGCATTATTTGTGTAGTATTGCAACTATAATGAGGCCTTAAATGTGTATAAGAGAAGACCCAAGGGAGGGACTAGCTGACATCATTCATGAATGATATCAGGGATACTGTTGATGTTGGTTGTGTGATCATGATTCGGGGTTTTATTAATAAGTAACTCTAACTCACTTCTGTAGGGATCTTGCTCCAATTGTCCTAGCAGTACTGTCACGCTCAAGGCTGGCGTTGAGAACATGATACAGTTTTATGTTCCCGAGGTAAAAGGAGTTGAGCAGGTCAGTTAGTAATGTAATCAGTTTGAGCACTGATTGATTAGTAGTATTTTATTACTATTGTATCCTTATTGTATTTATTAAGGATATTATTGGGAGGCTGTTAGTTGCAATAAGGACATATGTAGCCTATACAGTGAAACCTGCTTAATCCGGTCACCCTTGGGCCAGTTTTAAATGGCCTGATTATGCAGGTGGTTGCATTACAGATCAGCCTCTGTAATACAGCCATTTAGTACGGGATTTTGGCTTATGGCTGTAATAGAGAGGTGGCCTCATTATTCAGGTGACCTTTAGGACAGGTTTCACTGTAGCTCCAAATTTTTCACTTAAAATGTCATTTATGTACATAATGAAACTCAGTCTTGCCTTGTGTTGTTATAGCAAGGACTGTTTGTTCAGTGTACTCCTACCAGCATACTTAAGCAAGGCAATTAATTCCTAGAATAACCATAATGAATAAATTCATTTCTAATTGATCTTAAAACTCCCCACCGAGCGGGGCCTTGGTGGGTAGGGCATGTCTAGCTTTGGACTAATATCAGTTCTTGGAATCAAGCACACAGCCTTACTGACGGAGCTTATATATAACAGAGTGTGGGCTAATGGTTTTGGGAATTTTGGTACTCTCCGGTTCATTTTTGGTACGTCATTGATGATCATGTAATTATTAATGTGGTGATGATGTTATTGCAATGTTGTTAGAGTTGTGAGATTACCCTGTATTGATATCAGGGCTGCTGCCTATTTTGCTTAATGGTAAGATAACCATTTATATTTAGTAATTTAGTAGTAATTTGATGTGACATCTTTTTTCTACATACATGGCGTGTACATGTAAATGTTTTTCTCATATTTTTTTCACATCTTCTGATACAAAATAGAGATGTTCCTACTTCCTATGTGAAAGGTTAGAGTTGGTTCTGACTAAATTGAAGGTTTTTTTTTATTTTTAGAGTTGTTCCAAAATTGGGCCAAAGTCCCTGTACTATAATAGTACAGTGTCATCAGCCGAATTTTGGGAAAATGACTAGGAGAGGATTCTCCATTTTAATAATTTTTTTATGATACATATACATGTTTTTATGTTGCGTGCAAAGTTTTAGCTGGTTCTGATCAAAATTAGATTTTTAAGGAATTTTCAAAGTTGCTAAAAAATTAGGGAAAAGTCCCTGTACTATAGTACAGGGTCATCAGCCAAACTTTGGCAAAAATGACTAGGAAAGAATTTGCCATTTTTATAATTTTTTCTGATACGTATACATATACTTATGTTGCGTAGAAAGTTTTAGCTGATTTCGATTAAAATTGGATTTTTTACAAACTTTTTAATTTGCTCAAAAATTGGGCCAAATTAAGCCCCTGTACTATAGTACAGGGTCATCAGCCAAATTTTGGAAAAAAATGACTAGAAGAGAATTTGCGATTTTTATAATTTATCTCATACATATACATGTACTTATGTTTCGTAGAAAGTTTGAGCTGATTTTGATTAAAATTGGATTTGTTACAAATTTTTTAAGTTGCTCGAAACAGAAATACTTGGAGAGAATCCTCCATTTTCATAAAATTTTACTACATGGTTGAAAGTTTGAGCTGGTACTGAGGAAAATAGAGTTTAAAATGTTGCCAAAATTAGTAATTATTATTACTTATTTTTATTAATATAATAGACATGATATTATGCCCATGTCTTGGACTTGCAATGACTATATCCCTGAAGTGAGGTTATTTTATAAATCAGAATTTGGATCACAAGTTCTAAAAGAAAGTTTAAAATGGAAAGGGTAGTACTTATTATGTTTCCCTCTTATGTCCATTATTGTTAATGATGATAAACACTGTCTCTAACCTGCTTGATGTCTGCTCTTGAAATTGTAACTGGATCACTAGAACTTCCAAAACACACAGTACATTGGATGTATTGTATATACTTGGGTATGCATACACTTCCTTGTATAGCAATGATGATTGTTTGTAAAAGCCAATGAACACATGATGTGAACTCAGTAAGGATATTGATAACTGATTCCAGTGCGACCAATTGACCATAAATGTATTCCTTTTGTAACTAATGTTAAGATCCTATGGACTCACTTGGTTCTAGTGATAACATAGCATTCATGTATGGTTTTTTACTCTATTGTGCTAAAGGGACTATTACACCAATGACATAATGTAATTCTGTATGGAAACCATGATTTTTGTAGCTCCTCTATTATAGGGAATTTTGTCGTTTAAATATTCTTAATTGTTCTTGTGTAGGTAGAAGAAGAGCTTGATCCAATCAATCAGACTGCTCTTGATCAGTTGGAGAAGTCTCTCAATGACAAACAATAGGCTCTTTCAGACAATACCCTCTCTCTTTCATTTCTGTATTAAATAATCAGTCATTCAACTGCTGCATGGTCTTTTTAGCTATTAATACACATTGTTGCTATTGAATTAATATGCATTGTTGCTATTGATAAAGCAAAACAGGTTATAAAGGTGATAAAAACAATATAAGCTTATATCATGCCAATTTACTGTGCATGTGTGAGCAGCAATGTAATTGTTGTTTCCTGCTTGTATGAATAACAATGTATAGTGAAGGATAGTTTGTCTTTGATCTCCTCCTACTATCACATTCTCTCTCACACTCTGACTGACTGCCCCTCTCTCTCTCTCTCTCTCTCTCTCTCTCTTAAGTATAATGGTGAAGGAGCTGATGGTGATACTGGCTCTACAGGGCAGTGTAGTTGTAGGAGGTAAGAGTAGTAATAATGATTAGACAAACCCAATTACCATATAATTGCTCCTAATGTAGTTGCTTGCTAAAGTAGAATAGAATAGCCATATTTAAATTTATCATGACTACTAAGTATTGGTGATTGGAGCTGAATTAGAGTTAGCTGTACTGTAGCCACCTGATCTTGATAGTTACAGTTGTTTATTATTCTGTGTTGTATGGTATATAATTTATGACCTTTTCCAATGTATAACTGTGCTAGCATAGTTATTATTATGCATGTATCTGGTATGTCTTTTGGGACAGAAAAAACTTCAAAAGACTGCCGCCTTATAGCTGTTGTTGACTAATACCTGCCAGCATTATTGTTCTGATGTTGAAAGTGAAGCTATATATGATAATAATAAACAAAACATGATAGCTTTGAACTCTCAATTTTTAGACACAGACGTAATGCTCAGTGGAGCTAGTCACTTTGCTGCCATCTTTGGAATACCTCTCATTGCGACACTAACCTACGCACTCCTGACAGTATCAATAATGACCATCACCTACTGCATGTATGCTTGGAGGGGAGGTCAAAGGAATAGAGGAGAGGAGCAACAAGATGGAGAAATAGTTGAGCTCAATTTGACATCCCCTTCGCCTATCCTGCAAATGCATGAAGATCGTACGCCCACTTTGAGAAGAAATAGATCTTCTCCTGAGAGTGTGGATCAGCAGGTTGCAAGCAGACACAATATCATATCATGTAGGAGGCATGAAGCAGGTCGTGAGGCTGAGTATGATATTAATCAAGAGAGTGGGGCTGTGTACATTGTACCCATTAACAATTCATGCACTTATGCCACAGTGGCTGAAGATCATAGAGTCCCAACACAAGCAGTTAATGCAAACACATCAACCACAGGCTCAAACACCAGAGAAAACACCTTGTACTTAACAATGCTCTGATTTTTAATTTTTAAATTACCATTAAAGACTTGACTACTGCACTGTAGCAAAAATTATTATTCATTATTGTTGCAAATAAAAAATGTAGACACGCCCTGATATGTAGTCATAGCAACCAAAACTCATGGCGGCGTACAGGACCTCTTCGTCTGCTAATCCTTCTCTCTCTTATCATGACTCTGATCCCAGGTGTAATCCTAATGCCACCAGAGGTGACTACACTGGGCCAATGTATGCCGATGTCATAACGTAAGTAACTAGCACTGATTGTGCTCCTTCAAAAGTCCATTCTTTTTTATGCTGTAGCGAGCTAAAGAAGAAGTCTTTTGCTACTCGCAAGGACTCTATGATCAACGTCCCGTTCCAGATGGCCCCTATGCAGTCCTGCCTACAGCAGCCACAGCAGAACATTGGAATAATTAGATCACCAAGATCAAAAGAGGTGATTCACACTGATTTTCCAAAGCACAATGCATAAAGTTGACATTGTTCTCATGTTGTGTTATTTAGCAAGCTACTACAACCCCACTTAAACTTAGAGATAAAGCACAGAAGAGTTTAGATGAAAGTCAAAAAAGATTAAAGGCCATAGAAGTAAACATAATGATTGAACATTTCTCTCAAAAAATGATTGCAACCTTCACTCATTCAGGATCACATGTGGCAGCATAGGCAGGAGGAACGGAATTTGAGGAGAGCTGAAAATGACATCATCAGACAACAGAAACATATGCAAACTAGTCTAAAGCAATTTGAAAACAGTTAGTATTATCATACAATGTAAATTGGGATTATATATAATGCATGTACTTTTGCTTCTTTTTGTACATGCAGAGATAGTTAAAAGACAAGCAGAAGAAACTACTACATTACTTGAGAAGGAAGCAAAGTTTTCCGGCTACTGGCAGAAAGATCTTCACGATAAAAATGAAGTATGATGAAATCAGATGCATTATTAAGCTATAAATTTAATTTATTCCAGGCAACAAAAGAAAAGATTCAAAGCAAACAGGAGACCCGTCAAAAATTAAACGAAGCAAGAAATAAATACACAAAGAATTCGTAAGCATGTATGATAATGATAATACAGATATGATGCTGTGCTCTGTATAATAGAAATGAGTTATCATGGAGATACAGGAGCTTAATGGATAGTCTGAGTCAGAAAAAAGCAGAAATGGAAGATCTGAGCAAACAATTTGAGGTTTGGCTCTGATTAATGAAATAATTAGTTCATGTACATGCAAATGTGCTGCATGGATATTAGGCTCTTCTGAGAGAAAAGGAAGAGGAGCAGTTGCACATGAAGCAGCAACTTGCTTCCCTTGCAATATCACTTAATATGGAAGCCCAAAAGAAAAGAAAACTAGAATCAGATACACAACAGTAAGCCTTTATTACACTGAGGAACTGCAATAAGTCTCTTAAACTCATATTGACAGGCAAACGACACAATCAGCTTTGAAAAGCATAGCAGACACACAAGCAAAAGAAAAGGCACTTCAAACTGAAGAGAAAGCGAAAATAAAAGCAGAAGCAAACTTTGTTGAGCAACAAAGAGGACTCGAACAATCCCTTGACGAAAAGAACAAAGGATTTAAATCCCATCAGCGAAGTGGTAATGCAATAGCTAGTATTTTGAGCACTACAGTTAGAAAGCACATGTACCATAATGTACATAGTTCTGCATGATTCATTGCGGCTGCCTTTTCTTAATAGAGGGCCATAATTTAGCCAATGTGAGGACTCATTTGAAGGAAACAATGGAAAACCAGCATTACATGCAACAAGAGATGGACCACATACAGTTGAGCATATTGAGCGACAATATAAGAGAAAGGGTTGATGCAGCTAACTCAAGAAGAGACAAAAGACTCAACAACTTCCAGAGAAGAGTCAAGGAGAAAAACATGACCAAATTGCAGGATTGGGCAACTCGAACAATCACAAAAGACAATGATGAGAAGCTTAAGGAACGACAAGAAAAATTAACTCAACTTTCGGTATGCAAAATCTATTTCAATACTTTTATAGTATGCTTTTAAAATCTTCTATCTCTTTCATGCAGAAACTAGTATCTCATCATGATACTGTGGAGCATTCTCTGTTTTCACAAGCAAGAGAAGCTGACTCACAAATAAAGAGGCAAGGCCAAACTGTCTCCAAGCTCCAGTATGAGCTTGAAACACTCAAAAAAACCAATGCAAGGAAAATAAAAGTAAGACAGTGTAACAATCGTGATTTTTTAATTGCTAAAAGGTGCTGATTTATCATAACAATTTTGTTTATTGTTGATAATTATTTGTGTAATTGTCTCGCCTAAGTGAAAAGAGTCAATCCAACACAATTCACATCAAAAGCTAAAATTAATTCTTAAATGCTGTAAATTAATGAGAAATTGCTTATTAATTATCTGTGCAATGAAAGTCATGATGCCCTGTATAAAATAATTGTAAAATTTCTTTTTCACAATAAAGGAAATGACTGTAGCAGCAGCCAGAGCAGAGATGGAGCTACATCACAAAATACTCAGAGAGAGCGCCGAGTTTTCGAAAGCAATAAACGTGAGAGAAGAAACAATTAGAACCTTCACAAAGTACAAGAACAGAAACAAAGAAGATCGGAGAATGCTGGACGATGAAAAGAAAGTAAGTAGTAATAATTTAAAAGCGGTTGGTCTATGATTGCCAATCATGTGTAGGAACATGACAGAAGAGTGAGAATAGCAGACAGGAGCCAACTAGAAAGTTCAACAGTGAAAAGCAATTAAGAAGAAATAATAATGATAATAATAATGATGGTTATTAAAAATTTAGAAAGGTATAAATTTTGTACAATACTCCACAACAATGACTAAGAAAACACAAGAACAGAACTTATTAATAGTAACAGGAAAAATAGTATTATTATGAATTATAAATAATTAAAAAAACTTCATTATGTTTTAATAGCAGCATAATAATTATAATACCCGATCAATTTTAACAAACTCCTCAATTTTACTGGGCACCCTTCAATGGAGCCAGACCTCTCTTGTTCATGTATTGAGTAAACTGAGTTGGTATCTCTGCCAATACTACTTGTGCTAGTTCATAAGACTGTGAATGAAAGAGAATAATAATAATAATAATAATAATAATAATAATAATAATAATAATAATAATAATAATAATAATAATAATAATAATAAATTGCACAATCAATAGAGGACATCAAGTGGTATTTACCTGAGCATACTTCCTATATGGAACAAACTGGACTATATCTCTCTCAGCAACACTGGAACCAACTCTCAACCTAAAATTATATAATGAATAGAATGAGAGATGAGAAACCACTATAAGACAAGAGTGCAATACTTTATAAAAATAATAATTAATTTAGGCAAAGCAAAGAAACAAATTGAGAACAAGTATGTTAAATGTACAATAATGATTATTTCAACAAAAGTTGTCATAATAGGTACTTTAACCTACAGACTGTCATCAGAGTCTAATTCGACCATCTTTAAGAAAGTGCAGCTCCCAACTCCCACAATGATGATTGACATTGGAAGACGAGAAGCTCTTATGATAGCCTTCTTTGTGTCAATCATGTCAGTAATCTCTCCGTCAGTTAGTATCAGCAACACAAAGTAATCCTAAAAGCATGTTATAATGTATCTCTTCTATTCTATTCTCTTCTCTCTCTCTCTCTCACTTGTCTGTCAGTTTTAGAAGCAGCTTCTTCAGCAAAGTCAGCAACATGGTTAATGATAGGGGCCATGTTAGTTGGGCCTAACAAATCAACAACTCTTAGTGCTTGATGATATGCTGCAACAATACCCTCTACCCCAGCACAGTAAGGATTAGTGGGATTAAAATTGAGTGGAAACCGATGAGACACCTTATGTAGCAATAATAGAATAAATAATTATCACAAATAAAATTATCAATATGAGCATTACCTTTCCTTCAATCTGCCCACCAAATCCAAATGAGGGGAATAGCTTGTCACTGAAAGAAAGGGTAAAAATTTCTGAGTCAAACTTTAATTGCATATGCATCAGAAAATTTAATAAAAATTGAGAACTGTCTTCTACTTTTGATGAAAATCATGAAATACCCTGTACCATAGTACAAGGACTTTGGCCAGATTTTGGAGTAAACTTTGAAAATCGTAAAAAATCCAATTCTGATCGGAACCAGCTCAAACTTTCTATGTAACATAAGTACATGTAAATGCTTCAGAAAAATTATAAAAATAATGAATTCTCTCCTAGTCATTTTTGCCAAAATTTGGCCCGAGACCATGTACTATAGTACAGGGACTTTGGCCTGATTTTGGAGTAAACTTAAAAACTCGTAAAAAAATCTAATTTTGATCGGAACCAGCTCAAACTTTCTATGCAACATAAGTACATGTACATGCTTCAGAAAAAA